TCCAAGAGACTCTTTTATGCCACCAAGGGAGCATCTAGGAGCCTCACCCTCACTGCTTGGAGAGAGTCAACCTTCCCTCATCCTTTGACCAAGTCTTTTGGAGAGCATCAAAACTTTCTTGACCGTTGAGGAGAGGAGATGTTGCCAAGCTATTTAATCAATGTTAAAGTCACCTCAATACGTTATGACTATTAAACAGCTCCAACTCATTATTACCGCTTGATTAGCTATTTACTTAATATCCATTATGAGGCGATTATAAAATGTAAGCCTCACCAACACTTGGGGGGCATCAGACTTATTCGAGATAATTCTCTCCTCCTCTCTCAAAGCTTGTAACATTTTGCTCTCTTTCCACACTAGAGATAATAAAATACCGGCGACCCTTGCCATTCAAAGTAGATGTAGGTCACGTTTACCAAACCACTATAAACTTTATTTTTTCTCTCTACTTATTTTACTAATTTTATACTGCATACTTGACAGGTTGTGTGCAAACTAATTTGTGCATCATCAGTTTGACGCCGTCTATGGAAATCGATAAAATTCTCACCTAAACACTTTCTCTGTTGAATCAATTGTGATCACCATTAGATCCATGAATTAGCCTAAAGACAATCTAGTGCGAGAGGAGGAGGTTGCTACTCCACCTGTCAATCCCGTCCCAAATGTACAGCAAATGTTGGACACAATACAACAACTTATAACCCAGAACCAGCAAATTTTGCAACTGATGCTTGGACAACAAGGAGGAGCATAGCCTAGACCTCAAGTCAGAGGATCTACACACCCTAGTCATCAAGGAGCTCCCCACCTAAGCGCTCCCCAAGGGGGTGCCCCACCTCTAGGAGTTCCCTTGGGTGCCTTACACGGGGGGCCCACCACGAGGGACCTCCACCTCCTCCTCCAACTCCTGCTCCCTATGGTGGAGACCCTCATTTCCAAAATGATGAGGGTGAAAACCAAAGCATGGAGCATAAAAGCTATTTCCATGATAATTCTGCCTTTCCGTCGAAACTTTTGATGGTACGAAGGATCCACTAGACTACCTCGAAACTTTTAAGATCTTATTGCAGTTGTATAATGTCCTTGACGAAATCATGTGTAGAGTGTTCCCCAACCACCTTAAAGGGATCCGCTCGACAATGGTTCGTTAAGCTCTCCTCAGCGTCCATTGGCACATTTATTGAGCTGAGCAAGTCCTTTGTGTTGCATTTCATTGGAGGACGCCGCCATCATAAGTAGGCCACCCATCTACTCAGCATAAAGCAGGATCGAGACGAGAGCCTAAGGAGCTACCTCACTTGTTTTAACGAGGAGGTCCTTTAGGTCAAGGAGCCCGATGATAAGGTCAGCATGATCGCCTTCCTAGGAGACCTCCGATCATCAAGTTTTCTCCTTTCAGTAATGAACCGACCACCAAAGAGCATGCCAAGATTATTGGCAAAAGCTCAAAAATATATGAATGCTGAGAAATCAACAGGTCCAGATGAGGTGAATCATCTCACGGATCACCAAAAACTTGACTTATCTCTGCTCTGCTATCAAGCAGATTGCTAGTGTCTTTACTCTCAAGTAAGCAGCCTATACCTCAAGCTTAAGGACTCTTTCATGGGTCGCCAAAAGCTTAGCTCTCTCAGAGCAATCCTCAAACTCTATCTTTACTCTTGCGGAAGTAGCCTTTCTCTCTCTCTAGGTAATTATGTTAAATATTTTAATGTTTGAAATAACATTATTTTTGTCATCTCTAGCCAGACTTTTGAAACTCAAGTCGTTTGCAACCCGAATGACTACATTAAATTGAATGTCAACAATCAGGCTTCATCCTTTTGTGTCCATGTAGCACCGCTGCCTCGTTGCGGCAGCACCCCACACTTAACACCTAGCACAAACAAGGTCTGCCCATGCTTGTCCCCAAACAGTGCTCCTTCATCGCTATCAGCAAAGTCGCCTGCCAGCGGCGCTCCTATAGCAATGCCATGGGTACCTCTCCAAGAGGGCCTAACACCACAGACGCCACTCCATCAGCACCTAGTAGCTGGGTTTCTTGACCAATGACGCCCAGTAGGTCCTCAACGCCTAGCCTCACCCTACCCAACGCTAAGGGCACGCTTCGAGAGAGTCAAACTTCCCTCATCCTTTGACCAAATTTTTTGGAGAGCATCATAACTTCCTTACCCGTTGAGGAGAGGAGAGGTTGCAAACTATTTAATCATTGTTAAAGTCACCCTAATCCGTTATGACTATTAAACAGCCCCAACCCGTTATAACTGTTTGATTAGCTATTTAATTAATATCCATTATGAGGCGACTATAAAATGTAAGTTCCACCAACAGTTGGGGGGCATCAGACTCATTCGAGATAATTCTCTCCTCCTCTCTCAAATCTTGTAACATTATACTCTGCTTCCACACCGGAGATAATAAAATACCGACGATTTTTGTCATTCAAAGTGGACGTAGGTTACATTAACCGAACCACTATAAACTTTGTCTTTTCTCTCCCTCTATTTATTTTACTGCATTTTATACTGTATACTTGACAGGTGGTATGTAAACCAATTTGTGCATCATCAAGAATGGATCCACAAAACTACGTATTGGAGTAACATTTTTTGATAATCTTTAGGGGTGCATGTGTTGAAGTCAAACAATTTTCTCTTTTTTTTTTGGGGGAGTGAGGGGGGGGGGGGGATGAAATTGTTGTTCGTTGTATTTCAAATTTTGTAAAATCACTTTTTAAAATTTTTGATTTAAACCATGTAATGTATAATAAAACAGTAAAAATCAAGAGTTACACAAAAATAATCTTACACGAAAGAGTTATACATAACTGTTTGTTTAAGCAATATAAATACTAACCTGGTTGCAGAACATGAACTGTTATTGAATTTTATGTAGATTAAGGTTAGTATTTGACATTATATNGGGGGGGGGGGGGGGGGGGGGGGGGGGGGGGGGGGGGGGGGGGGGGGGGGGGGGGGGGGGGGGGGGGGGGGGGGGGGGGGGGGGGGGGGGGGGGGGGGGGGGGGGGGGGGGGGGGGGGGGGGGGGGGGGGGGGGGGGGGGGGGGGGGGGGGGGGGGGGGGGGGGGGGGGGGGGGGGGGGGGGGGGGGGGGGGGGGGGGGGGGGGGGGGGGGGGGGGGGGGGGGGGGGGGGGGGGGGGGGGGGGGGGGGGGGGGGGGGGGGGGGGGGGGGGGGGGGGGGGGGGGGGGGGGGGGGGGGGGGGGGGGGGGGGGGGGGGGGGGGGGGGGGGGGGGGGGGGGGGGGGGGGGGGGGGGGGGGGGGGGGGGGGGGGGGGGGGGGGGGGGGGGGGGGGGGGGGGGGGGGGGGGGGGGGGGGGGGGGGGGGGGGGGGGGGGGGGGGGGGGGGGGGGGGGGGGGGGGGGGGGGGGGGGGGGGGGGGGGGGGGGGGGGGGGGGGGGGGGGGGGGGGGGGGGGGGGGGGGGGGGGGGGGGGGGGGGGGGGGGGGGGGGGGGGGGGGGGGGGGGGGGGGGGGGGGGGGGGGGGGGGGGGGGGGGGGGGGGGGGGGGGGGGGGGGGGGGGGGGGGGGGGGGGGGGGGGGGGGGGGGGGGGGGGGGGGGGGGGGGGGGGGGGGGGGGGGGGGGGGGGGGGGGGGGGGGGGGGGGGGGGGGGGGGGGGGGGGGGGGGGGGGGGGGGGGGGGGGGGGGGGGGGGGGGGGGGGGGGGGGGGGGGGGGGGGGGGGGGGGGGGGGGGGGGGGGGGGGGGGGGGGGGGGGGGGGGGGGGGGGGGGGGGGGGGGGGGGGGGGGGGGGGGGGGGGGGGGGGGGGGGGGGGGGGGGGGGGGGGGGGGGGGGGGGGGGGGGGGGGGGGGGGGGGGGGGGGGGGGGGGGGGGGGGGGGGGGGGGGGGGGGGGGGGGGGGGGGGGGGGGGGGGGGGGGGGGGGGGGGGGGGGGGGGGGGGGGGGGGGGGGGGGGGGGGGGGGGGGGGGGGGGGGGGGGGGGGGGGGGGGGGGGGGGGGGGGGGGGGGGGGGGGGGGGGGGGGGGGGGGGGTTGGATTTAAACGGAAAATGACGCTTTGTTACCTTTCAATTATTGTCATGATCTCACCATGCTTCTTCAACTAATGAGTTTCTCATATTGTCGCTACAATTATTCGAATTGGTTTCAAATTTATCCAAAACTAAGCTTCCATTATGCTTTGGATAAAAATTCAGCCGTGTCATAAATTCGAGGGCACTGTGAAATAAAATCATGTAGTTGGTGGATTTTGGTCCAATAAGGGGCAATGTGAGAGATGTTCCAAGTTAATTACTATCTCTTTTTGTTAAAGTCACTAATAAAAACCAATAATTATTTAGGAAAATTACTCTTTGACCTTATTTAATATGGCATAATCTTATTTTGCCCACCAACAACTGATTTTCCCACATTGCACACTCGAATAGTTTTTCAATCATAAAGTCCCAATGATAAGCCGTTGATATGATTTAAACCAAAAAGTCAATGCGTTATTAGATTTTGGGACAAAATGAAAAAAATTAAATAATTGGAAGCAAAGTGGAGCAATGCTAAACTAATAATAGAATTGGAAGATGCCATGCGAAAAATATCAAATTTGAGAATGCAACGTGAGATATAGGCCAAAGTTGAGGGTACCAAAGTCAAGTTTGCTCTTAGTATTCTAAAACTTTGGGGTGTGACTTCCCTTCACCCCTCTTGTGGAGGATTTAAAGTGTCTCTCATCACTGAAATCAAACATCAGCTAAATGAACTCACTTTAATTACAAAACAGAAATATATAATTGATATGATTCAAGATACATACAACAACATTATTTCTTTCTGTTCAACCCATGATACCATCTAAGTTGCAGAAAATCTGTAAAAAAAATACACCAAACAGAAAAGAACTGACCCATGAAAACAAATTTATCAAACGGCCTATAGAACATATATGTAGAACAACCACTACTTCTCATCAGGAATTTCAAAATCTATTACCATTGGAATGCCTATTCATGCTCTCATTGTACCACCAGTCAACAAACAGAACATTCATAACTCCCAGCACTCAGCAGCCTCTTTAACTCTGCATGGGACCGTGATCATAAATACGATAACTAACAATATCGAAAAAACACACACACACACACACACACAGAGGAAATGAAGAAACAAAGGAGGATAAAGAAATGATACCTTCCCTGGTTCGTGAAAATCTGGAACTTTGTACCTCTCCGGTGTTATTTCCGTCATCCATGACCCCGGAAAAAGTGACTGCAAAAAGTAAAACGCTACAATCAAATTTTCGTACACACACACATTGGTTTTTTTTTTTTTGTTGGGGGGGGGGGGGGAGAGAGAGAGAGAGAGAGTATCCATGCATGAAGCAAGAGCAACCAAAATATGAGCATCCGCAATAGAACTGGATTCACAAAAAATCTAGAAAAAAATGATTTTAATCTCACATCCAATTGCTTCTGAGCAGCCTTAGACTTCTTCTTGGGTCTCCGAGGTGGTTTCGCTCCCGTCATCGCCAAGAAGTCACTCTCAATCTCTTCCTTTGTGAGTGTAAGCGAAAACTTAGCTCGCTGGCTATTCTCTCCCTTTTCAGTTGTCTCTTTTTCAGTTGCCACCACATTCCTCAACCTTTCGGATTTCACGGTTGCCACCGGGCTCTCTTGCTTCCCTGCATGTCCTCCGCCGTCGGTGTTGCTTCCACCGGACTTGATTGGAGCCTTATAGGGGGCTCTGGCAGACCGCAAATTCCATGGCTTCGGAGAGTTTGATATCTCCGATTCTTTCTCTTTCTCTTTATCTTCAAGAACTGGGACTTTCATTCTACCGGCGGCGATTCTGAGATCGGTCATGAGCTTACGACGGACACCCTCGATTCCGTCATTATCAGAAACACCACCCTTTTTGTTGATTGGAGATTTATTGGAGCTGTGATCTGAAACATTAGAAGACCTGGGTTTGATCAGATCATTTCTGCTTCCTGTTCTTCGGTTGAAGCCGTCAGAATCGGGGGCTTCAGAGGCCGAGGATCTGCTATGATCGGTGGAGGTATCGCCTTTGGCGATGGAGTTGTTGTCAGATTTCATGCATTGGAGGGATTTTTGGTTTCCCCATTTCAAGCGAGGCAAAGTGAAGTTGTGAAGATTTCTTGTTGATCTATCTGGAGGAACAGCCATCAAATTCAGAGCTTCCTCTACGATGGGTTGAATTTCAATGGGTGCGACAGTGGACTTGTGCGTTTGTGTTTGCGAAAGAGATGGTTTGAGGGTTTTGGGGTGGGGGTGGGGTGGAGAGAGAGAGAGAGTTGGGTTGTAGTGGTCTGAAATTACGTGTACATATATGTACACGTGGAGAATGTATTCACTCATAAACAATTTTTTGAAAGCAATCAATTTAAATTTAGAGTTAAATAAAGAGTTCAAATGACATAATAGTTACTAATTAATTGTCATTTCAATAAAAAATTTTATGCCTTCTCCAAATTAAGGATAGATGGGTACTAACACACAAATCTATATTGAAGATTCTTAATAAGTTAGTGTGGTTGTTAAATTTTGATGAAGTGCCTCAAACATTTGATTTACAAGTTTAATGGTAAAAAAAATTGTTCTAATATATGAGAGATAAAGGTCAAACTATACTGCCCCACTGTAGATCCCCCACTGTATGTACGTACTTGTGCTTGTCGTAGTGGTACTATGCGTCTTGCTTGAAACATTTGTACGTTGCGCTAAATAGCTGTGTACAGAAAAAAAATATTTTCACCATTTTTTTCACCACAAACAATTTTAGTTATGCTGTGACATATATACTACTAGGGTAATCTATATATGAAGTTATAGTACAATATAAATAATTTTAAGAGTGATATTATGTTGTCGTTGGATAAGTTTATTTGAAACCGTCATATGAGTTTATTAAAATTTATCATATTTTATATTATAAATATATTATTTAAATAGGAATGCTTATTTATAATTGTTACTCTTTTTAAGGATAAAGGGGAAAATAGTGTCTGACAATCATAATTCAAGTGTAAATACACGCTCATCTCAAATATGTTGACAACGTTGTAATACTAGTTTTAGTAATTTCATGAATATATTGTTATGTAATAGTTTATCAATTTTAATTTTGGGAATTTCATATACTTATATGTTTTTACATTATGTTGTTATATGCAAAATAGGCACACCAAGAATTATGGGTATATATATATATATATATATATATATATATATATATTTTTTTTTTTTTTTGCTTTTTTTTGTTCAACAGTCAAGGGTGCTTACACTAGTTTATACGCATCTCCACTAATTTTGTCATTGGTCTAGTTAAAGACAAACCATCCACACTAAGAAATTTAAGTTCCATTAACAACTCAAATTTGAATTCCCTTTCTCCTTTTATACAACACGAAAATCATCTATTGTGTTGAAACGATATTAAAATATCCTTTATGACTTTTTTTTTTCTTATTTTTTTTGGAAGGTAAACTATATACATAACGGCAAAATACAAGAACAAAACAGAGGGAGATGCTTACATGACAGAATGCATACTCCCATAACAAAAGAAGAACCAAAAAGAAAAACAAATATACCAAGAGTATGGGAATCTAAAGAAAGTGCCAGCCTTGTGCTAGTACTTTCCGCAAAGTCCAGACTCAATAGAAAACAGAGGAGACAAAAGGCTTCCCCTTAAAATAGAGAAAGGCAGGCAACATTCAAAAGGAAGTGAAAAAAAAAAAAAACACTTTCAGAAGAATCCTGCATAGAGTGGCAATGAAGGAGGAAGAAGAGCTAATGAAGGCAATCCATCAATCCCTAACAATGAACAAGCTGCCTATTTACATCACAGAGCTTGAACTTGAGGGAAGCCATTTTGCTTCTAATGGCCATTTGAACAGCTTTAGAGATAGAATTAGAATCCCTGAAGAGATTTTTGGATCTTCTATTATTTCTCTCCATCCATAATTGATAAAGAGTGGCTGCAAGGCTCAATCTAAGAAGAACCTTTAGCATTGATTTTCCAATCCGATTAGCAGCAGCCCATTTAATCATCTCGTTCCTGAGTCTAGGTTGAAGAGTGATACCTGATATGGCCAAAATAAAATTCCAAATCCCAATTGAGAAGGAGCAGTTGAAGAAGAGATGATGGTGGGATTCATCAGCATCTCTACAGAGGATGTATTCAGTTCCAAGATGAGCTGCATAGGACTACATTCTATCCAGGGTGTTAAGCTTGCATCCAATAGCAAGCCAAAGAATGAAGTTGAATCTAGGAACAAATTTGCTATTCCAGACCAGTTTATGCCAAATAATCAGAGGGTCTTTACTCCTAGTAGCCTCCCAAGCAGATTTGGAAGTGAATTTATAATTAGTAGTTGGGGACTACTTCACCACATCCTCCCTACATGAATCCAGCTGGTAGGAAGGAAGATTCCTGATGATTTCTTGAGAAGGAAAAGAAGAACAAGTAGGCCATTGCCATCTATTATCGGAGATAATGCAGCTAACCATGCAATTTCATACTAAATTAGTCCCCTGGATATCCTCCAAACTGCAGATAAGACAACGAGGCCCAAATTTATGCCAGTTATCAGACCAACAACTAGTCCTATTTCCATTTCCAATAATATGAACCATAAGAGGTCTCATAAAATGCCTAGCTTTAAGAAGATTGAGCCAATTCCAAGAGCAAACATGAGGAGCTGTCAAATCCCAAAAACTTCTACCTTTGAAATAATAGGCATGGATCAACTTAACACAGATTCTGTTTGGCAGTGAAGAGAAGCCTAATGTATCTTAGCATTAAGGAGGAATTCCACTCTTTGATATGCTTGATCCCTAAAACTCCTTTTTTTGGTCCCAAGCAACCTTAGCAACATTGCACCGTAAAATAGTCCCACTCCAAAAGAATTTTCTCATCATTTGCTCAATCTTATCAATAATCTGTTGATGGAGAATGAGGTGGGAAGTCCAGTAGGCTTGAATACTACTAATAACCGACTGGATGGGGAGGGGTCTACCAGCATAAGAAAGATTTTTATTGATCCAGGAACCCACTTTTTTCTCAATTCTAACAAGTAATTCATTGCAGTGGAAATTCCTTTATTTGGATGAGATAAGAGGAATACCATGGTATGTCATTGGCAATTGCCCCTCAGGAAAGCCAAGAAGACTCTTGATTTGATCCTTAACATCATCTTGAATACCACACATGTAAATATGGCTCTTGGAATGATTAGCTTGCAGTCCAGAAAAAACTTGAAATTGAATGAGGGCTGAGTTGAGAATGCTCATAGAATTAAGGTCACCATAGTAGAAGAGCAAGAGATCATCAGCGAAGGAGAACTAGGAGAGCAAGAGTTTTTTGCACCTCCAGTGAAACTTGAACACCCTGTAATCTCTTAATTTAGATTGAATAAGAAGAGACAAGATCTTCATTGCCAACACAAATAAATAAGAAGAGATAGGATCACCCTGTCTTAGGCCTTTAAAGCTGCGAAAAAACCCTGCCAAATCAACATTAATATTGATAGAGAAGCTAAGGGAAGAGATGCATTGTTAGATCCAAGTTCTCATAACGGGAGGGAAATTAAAAGCTTCTAAAGCATCCATCAAAAAACTCCAATTGACAGAATCAAAAGCCTTCTTTAAGTCAACTTTAGTAGCACATCTAGGAGATTCCGTGTTTCTGTGGTAGTCCCTCAAATGCTCTTGAGCCAGAAGGATGTTATTAGCAATCCTTCTACTAGGGATGAAGGCAGATTGGGACTAGTTGATAAGGTTTGGAAGGACAATTTTAATTCTAGAAGCCAACAGTTTTGAGATGGCTTTATAAATAGTGTTGCAGCAAGCAATAGGTCTGAACTCATTCATAGATAAAGGATTGAGGCACTTAGGGGCTAAAACAATGATGGTTGCATTCATTTCCTTAAGGATTTTACTAGTTGCAAAGAATTTCTTAATAGCCTTGATGATATCATTCCCTATAACAGGCCAAGCTTTCTTGAAAAAATAGGCATTATACCCATCAGGTTCAGGGGATTTAAAATTATTCATAGAGAAAAAAATGGCTTGATTTCCTCATCAGTAACTATCTCAGACATACTAGAGGTCTATGCATCAGTCACTTTGTTGTGGACAATAGACTCCAGCATTGATCTTCTACCCACAGTAGATACCAGATTGTGGGAGTGTGAAAAGAGATTCTTGAAATGATCAATATCAACTCTCTTAACCTCCTGGTTCCCTTCAATAATAAGCCCATTACCATTCTTAATATAAATGATTTTCTTCCTATTTCTCCTATTGATCACGGATTTAAAGAAGAATCTTGTGTTTTGGTCACCCTCTTTGAGCCAAAGAATCTTAGATTTCTGCTTATACATTAACTTCTCAGCCTTAGAATCAGCAAGGTATTCAACTAAAAGAACCTTTCTCTCCTCCCACTTAGAGTGGTCATTAGGGTTGGTATCAATGCTTCTCAGGCAGTCATCAAGGTCAAGCTTGGTATTAACAACCAAATTAGAGATAGGCCCTTTTTCTCTACAAATAGATTTGAAGATTCTTTTGAGGAGTTTAAGCTTTTTACAAACTTTAAACTGATGAGAGCCTTGGATAAGTTCACACCAAGAAGCAGCCACAAGGTCTAAAAAATCAGTTCTATCAACCAGGTGATTAAAGAATTTGAAAGGGGAATTCCCGTCTCATATAGATTCACCAAATCTTGCATTAATAGGAGAGTGATCAGAGATACCTGAAGGCAAGAATTCAGCTTCAGATTGGTGGAAAGAAGAATTCCATCTCTCATTGACAAGAGCTCTATTAGGTTTCCTTGAGATGCAACCAAAGCCATGCATATTATTGCTTCAAGAATGAAAGATGCCAGAAAACCTGAGGTCCTTAAGCTTAGAACTCTGAATGCAATCCTTGAACTCAACCATATCTTATGTCTAGTGATCGGAGCATCCACACTTCTTTAGGATTTCTAATGATATTGAAGTCATCTATGATGATCTAGGGGTCACTATAATGAAGACTAGCTTGCGTATAAATCTCATGCCAAAACCTTCTTCTTCCAATCCCTTCATTCTGAGATTCATACTATAGATTTGCATGTTGAAGACCAGAGGTGCCATTGACATCATTTCCCATATGGGTTTAAGAGA